CACAAGTTCTCTGTGAGAACAAGCAGCAAGAGTATACCAGCTGAACTGAGGACAAACCAAGAACGCCTACAACCAGGCAGAGTTGCTCATATCAGAGAAAGGGCAGCCAAACCTGATAACTCTTTTGTCTGAGGGACCTAAGAAAAACATAAAAACAGTTCTTGCTCCGCCCTAGGCTTTTAAGGGATCTCCTTCCCCGTCATTTCCCACCTAGGACTTGCAGGTGAGCTTGCATTCCTGCAACTCATCAAGAAGTCCTGATAAACTTCCACTCTACTCCAGAGTTGGAAGAGGGCTGCCATAGTTCCCATCCCAAAACCAAAAGAGCCAGGGAAGTACATCTCTCTCCTCAGCTGTCTGGGCATGATGGCCAAGAGGATGGTACTAAATGGAAAATTTGATCCTCACATGAACATCTCCATGGGCTCACAAGGGGTATGAGCACAGCCCACAACATAGCCACACTCTGAAGCACAACCATCACTGTCACATCTGTGGTAGTATTCCTAGACCTGGAGAAGTTCTCTTACTATTCAAGAGGAATAAGAGGAAAGCTCTCGACCTGGAACAGAACAGCTAAAGACAGATTTCAAGGTCACCAAGGTGGATCCAGTTGCTTGGTGTCGCTGGATCCGCAGAGACATAGTTGGCATTGAAATACCTAATCTTCAGGATGTTTGGGCTCTTGATAGTCCCTCAGAGTAAAAATTACTATGATGCTAGAGTGGTCAAGAGCTCTACATTGCTAATATTGCAATGGTACCAGGCCTTAGTCATATCAACTCCAAAACACTTTTTGAACTGATTATGAAGCTACATCTATTCTGGGCTTTGAAGACAAGTACCAAACTTTCCAAATCAACTAGTAATTGTTTAGGTTTCATCTAATCTCGAGGGATAGTTTTTTAACGAGTGTGTACCTCTCTGACAACCTATTCCCTTTCAGAATTAAAAGCACACTTTATTGGCAGTTATTATGTATTACAAATAGGAAATCTAGATATCTCCAGATGAGAAATATGTGGTATGTTCATTCCCTTTAGATGTTACTATTGTTTAATTCAAGAAAGGCCTTAGTCATGAGACTTTAGATTGCCAATCCTCTGAAATTAAGAGTGAAGTGCTTATTTGTAAGCTATGAACCAGTGCTATAGCTGGGTAAAATAGGATTCATTTGGTATAGCCTCCCTTTAAGATATGCAAGTTGATATCCTGCAAAAACAAATTTCATGGACTTGGGACCCTTCTGAATTTACCGATTCATATATATATATATATATATATATATATATATATATATATATATATATATGTATATATATATATATATATATATATATATATATATATATATGTATATATATATATATGTATATATATATATGTATATATATATATATATGTATATATATATATATATGTATATATATATGTATATATATATATATATATATATATATATATATATGTATATATATATATATGTATATATATATATATGTATATATATATATATATGTATATATATATATATGTATATATATATATATGTATATATATATATATATGTATATATATATATGTATATATATATATATATATATGTATATATATATATATATATATGTATGTATATATAAATATATATATGTATATGTATATATATATATATATATATGTATATGTATATATATATATATATATATATATATATATATATATATATATATATATATATATATATATATATATATATATATATATATATATATATATATATATATATATATATGCACACACACACATACACCCACATATACATACACATACATATATATATGTATATATTTACACATATATATACTAGATTTCCTTTAGTTTTGCAAAAGGGGCCATATTTAGGACTTAAGGCACCCAACTGTATTTGCCTCTGGGTTACTAGCTTTGTATCCCTCTTGAAATATCAACTTAAGTATATTTGTAAGCTTCTCTTTGAAGGATGTTACATCGTAGTAAAGTATGCATAATTTCTATATCATTTTTGGGACCTAATTCAAAATTTGTCAATTAGAAAAATATATAAATTGAAATGCATTCTGAAACTCCACACACACACTTACTGGAGAAGAGATGACTTCACAGACTTCATAGGGATGGTTTTCCTTAACCATTGCTGTCAATTCTTCCAAACGAGAGGATCGTGTCTTAATAATCTGTAATACAGAAACGAGAGGACCGTGTCTTAATAATCTGTAATACAAAAACTACTACCTTCCAAAGTACACTTTATTTGCAATAAAATACAATTATATCCTATCTGAAATACAGTAAATGGCTAGAACTCCCTATAGTATATAGCTTACAAAAGGTACAAAAATATTAGATATAGAATAATTCTAATTTACTGGCAAGCAAACCAAACAAGGCTTTATGAAATTCATATTATATGCTTACCATCAGGACTTCAGGGTCCTCATTAATTTCTTCTTTCCATTCGTAACTGAAAAAAGTGAATTTTAAGTATAAAATAATAGTATAAAAGATTAAGAAAATGTGTTGTAGTATTGTTTTGAGAAATGTCTCCACAATTTGCTACGAAGGAGTCAATTAGTGACCTTGAATATATATATATATATATATATATATATACAACGAAGGAGTCAATTAGTGACCTTGTATATATATATACAACGAAGGAGTCAATTAGTGACCTTGTATATATATATATATAACGAAGGAGTCAATTAGTGACCTTGTATAAATATATATATATATATATATATATATATATATATATATATATATATATATATATATATATATATATATATCACACACACACACAAATATATATATATATACACATGCATACATACACACATACATATACCCACCATATATCTATAATATTTATATCGTGGTGAGGTCTAGGTTGGATCAATGAGGAGTCTAGGCCTTGAGTGGAAGGAGAGTCAAACTCAGAGGTGCAGAGTAGTCTATTGTTTTACCGAGCATGCGGTATAAATATGATATGGGAGATTTGAGGTCCGCGGCCGAATGGCTGCATCCGACTGTACGCGTCGTGGCGAATCAACGCTGACCTCATTGACAGTATCCCACTGTCGGTGTGGAGGTATTTACGCTGAGCGAGGCAGTGCTGTTGCTGAATCAGGTGAATGTGCCATCCACCACAATGCCTCCACCCTATTGAGGAAGAAAGTACTACACGTCGAGGATCCTGGGGAGTAAGAATGGTGTCTCGTGTATGCGGTGTCATCATTGTCCAAGGCGTGGTGACCCAGTCAATCCATCCATCCAGCTGTACCTTGAAAGCCCTGAAGGACCCTAAAAGGACCTTTGTAAAGGCAAGATAGCAGGTGGCGGTGGGCGTCATCGCGGTGGAAAACGAGCTCAGTAGTATCCAGTCCTGGTGGGGTGCAGAATGGGCGATGAGAGCGATGGGTTAACCGATGTGTGAGAGAGTCGGCAACTGGATTCTGGGAGCCTGAAAGGTGTCCCATAATGCAGGCCGTCTCGGCGATAGCTAAGAGCTGTCGTTACTGCTGCTCTAACTAAGCATACACGGACTTGGAAAGGGCATTGACAAGGGGCCTGTGGTCTGTAAAACTGATGCAGGGCGTACCTTCAAGTATGTAGTGGAATATCTCACTGTCTGGAGCTCTCTGTACATCCGATCAGGTGGCGTCTGTGGTGAGGCAAATCTGGGCTTTGGGGGGAGGCTGTGCCAAGATAGTAGCCCTGGCAAGTGCTGTATTGGCAGCTATGAAAGCTCTCTCTTGTTCTTGGGACCCCACAAGTGATCTGCTTCCAGCCACAGCTTCCTGCAGAGGGGCGAGAATGCAGGCAGCCCCGAGGATAAATTGGTGAGGGTAATTTATCATCCCTAGGAACTGCTGGACTCTCTTCATGGATGTTGGGGTAGGGAATTTGAGTACAGCATTGGCCTTCTTGGCCTGTGGCCAGATGCCCTGGTTCTGGATCTTATACCGGAAATCGATGCTGCTGGCGCCGTAAATGCACGTCTCTGGGCTGACTAAAAGGCCATTCTCCTCTAGACGGTGAAGGACTGTGTGGACATACTGCTGTTGTTCCTGGTGTTTCCGTGAGAAAATGAGGGTCATCGATGTAGACCACGAAGAATGGGAGCTCTCCAAAAATCTTTTCCATCATCCTTTGGAAAGTGGTACCACTGTTCCTTAGCCTAAAAGTGGAGTAGTGGAAAACACATCTCCTAAATGGGAAAACGATAGCTGTCTTGGAGATGCCATCTGGATGAACAAGCACCTGAAAGCACCCTTAACCCACTGCCGCCGGGCATGGCATGTACGTACATGCCATGCCATGCAGCCAGGAATGGGGTGAAGGGCTTCCGGCTGGTGTTGGGCCCTCTAGCAGTTACTGCATTGGTGTCAGTACTAGTCAGCGGGAAAACGAGAGCTGTTGGTTGAGGGAGGGCTTGCCGATGTGCTTTCATAAGGTCTCCAAGTGGTGTGTTGCTTCAGCTTGGAAAACCTCATCGAGCAAGACAGCCACGACGTGGTCTGCTTTGGTGGTCGACTTTACGATGTTCTTGAGCCTGAACTGGGTTTTGGCTTGCTAAACCATGTGAGGGCTTTGTTTGGCGAAAAGGATGGAAGGTGGATGGAGGCGGCATTTACTGCAGTGAAAAGGATAGCTGAGCCGGTGCTCATGTTGTTTGGGGTCACCAATGTGGACAGGCCTAGGTTGGATTAATGAGGAGCCTATGCCATAAGTGGAAGGAGAGTCAAACTCAGAAGTGTGGAGTAGTTTGCTTATTTTATGCCGAGCATGTGGTATAAATACAATATGGGAGGTCTGCGGCTGAGTATGCTGATTGGCTGAGCAGCTGCATCCCACTCTCCCATGCCATGGTGAATCAGTGCTGACCTTACTAACAGCATCTCACAGCAGGCGTGGAGATAATTATGCCAAGAGAGGCAGCGCCGGTTCTGAGTGAG